AGCAAGAGCCTTTGTCCATCCAGGAGCCTGCTAGCAACAATGAAATGCCAGAGGAACAGATCCAGGTTTTGGGAGAGTTGCTGGGAAAAGAATTTGCAGGAGTTTAAGGTGAAGAACGTACAGTGAGTGATGTGAAAAGAGATGAAACACAGCCATGTGTAGGAGGCAAATTGGGGAAAGTGTGGGTCATGAGGACCTTAGCTGCAACTTGGAGTTTCAGCTGAGGAAACAGGTTTCTTTTTCATGTGTACCCCAAGAAGACCTTAGTGAATGAAATCACATCACCCTACAGCTGACATACTTCAGAGGCAAGTGCTAAAGTAATCCAAAGTGGAATCGGACGGCTCAGGAGCAGCCTGAGACACGTCCGCTTGTAGCGCTGTTCCTTCCAAGGAATCATTTCTTTATTCTCGCTTCAACCCAACTCACAGTTCGTTGTTGGCCAACCGGCCTCGCTCGGCCTGCTGGTCCTACAGAACGTACAACTGGAGGGGGAATTGTTGCAGGACTTAAATCTGCAATTTGGATCAAGGCAACAGAAACATTTTGGGCTAGTGCCTAAAAGAAAGGCACCAGGCAACCCTTGGGGGGGCTTTCTGTAGGTGGGGTGCCGCTACTGAAAAGGCCCTGTCTCTGGTCACCATCTGTCTCAATTCTGATAGAGGGCTTGAGAGGAAGATCCTAACTGGTGGTAGGCTAGTGCCTAAAAGAAAGGCACCAGGCTACCCTTGAGGAGATTTCTGTAGGTGGCGTGCCACTACTGAAAAGGCCCTTTCTCTGGTGGCCATCTCTCTCAATTCTGATAGAGGGCTTGAGAGGAAGATCCTAACTGGTGGTCTGGACAGTATGGCAGGAATCAGTCCATCAAGTACACTGGTCCTAAGGCATTTAGAGTTTTAAAGGTAAGAACCAGGACTTTGAATAGTGCAGCCAGGGTAGATCTTTTGGCATAGGCATGATGCAGTCCCTGTACCCAGCGTCCAGCAATGACCTAGTGGCATAGAATTGCTGATGTGGAATTTCACCCATTGCAGTTAATTGAACTGCATCTGTGAGTGATGATGTATTATTTTGGGGGTTTAAATAACTTCCATGGGGGGGAAGTGGTGTGTTGGAGATCCTTGAAAGGACAAAGAGTAAGTGAATTTGGTCCCGGTCACACGGAGAATTTGCCACGCAAGAGGCACAACTGCTGGGCAAATTAAAAGGGTGTGATCGAGTTTCCGGTTTGTGGATCAGCAATGGTGGTCATTTTCCCCGGACCTCAGGGGAGTGGCCCGCACACCAGCGGTATGGAGGGGTGCTACCTTAAGTAGCACTCACATGGAGCCTTTGCGATAGGCTCCAGGCCAGAGGGCTTTTGAAGGGCAGCCTCTTTGACGGCTCAGTGCTGGAGGATTGAAGCTTCCCTCCACCCTGACGGTCCCGCCGCTGTGTGGCCCTCGGGCACAAGCTGATTCGACTGGGACAAGCACTGGAAATCAAGCGGAATATCGATTACTGCGAGCAAGGTCAGAGAAATGACTGACAATGAACGTGAGTTCAAAATAAACAGAATATTTTAAAAGCAAACTACGTTTGTAGATCACAATCCCTTGCTTTTGACATTACAAGATATCCTCCAAAAAAACAAGATGGACCATGAACTTATGGTTTTTTAAAAATCAAAAATTTATAGAAGATTCTAAAAAAGACTTTCAAGAATTCTGTAACTAAACATGCAACCTAACATCTCTATGGATATAGTTTGGGATGCTTTTAAGGCGTATGCAAGAGGCTGGCTCATTAGACAAGATGTTTGGATGAGGCGACAAAGGAAACAAAAATGTTCACAGATTGAAGAGCAAATCAAAAAAGAAGAAGAGAAGATGAAGTCAGAGCCCTCCATAGAACAAACAAGGATTAAGATTAAAAATCTACAACATCAATTTAATTGCCTTTTAACACAAGAAATTGCCCAAAAAATTTTACTTATGTGAAACAAAATTATTTTGAAAATGGAAATAAACTACCAAGATGGTTAGCATACAAATTAAGAAAAGAATCAGAAAAGAAACATATAAAGATACTGAGAAATGAAATGGGAGAAGAAGAAAATACTCCTAAAGAGCTAAAAATGATTATTGTGAGCTTTTACAAGAATCTATATCAGAAGAGAGAAGCCAACCAAGAACAGATTAAAGAATTTTTAAGGAAACATAATAGTAAAGAATTTTCAGAGGACCAAAGAAAAATGTTAAATGAACCAATTTCTTTTGCCAAATTTACTGAAGCGATTAAAAACCAAAAGAAAAGGAAAACCCTAGGCCTGGATGGGCTCCCAGCAGAGTTCTACCTAACTTTTGAAGATCAAATAATATTACCATTGAAATATACAATACAGAACATCACTGGACAGAAGAAAATACCAAAGACATGGAACCAAGCATTGATTACCCTAATTCATAAACCGAACACAGATGAGAAAGAAATTAGAAATTATAGACCAATCTCATTGTTGAATGTGGATTATAAAATATATGCATGCAAATTAAAAGGGTGTGATCGAGTTTCCGGTTTGTGGATCAGCAATGGTGGTCATTTTCCCCGGACCTCAGGGGAGTGGCCCGCACACCAGCGGTATGGAGGGGTGCTACCTTAAGTAGCACTCACATGGAGCCTTTGCGATAGGCTCCAGGCCAGAGGGCTTTTGAGGGTCAGCCTCTTCGATGGCTCAATGCCGGAGAATTGAGGCTTCCCTCCGCCCTGATGGTCCTGCTGCTGTGTGGTCCTTGGGCACAAGCTGATTCAACTGGGACAAGCACTGGAGATCAAGCGGAATATCAATTACTGTGAGTGAGGTCATAGAAATGACCGACAATGAACGTGAGTTCAAAATAAACTTGTGAATGTTGTAACAGAATATGGACAGCTAGCTGGTCTGAAAATTAATTTTAAGAAAACAAAACTATTGACAAAAAACTCTACTAAAGACTAAATACAACAGCTACAAGAGACTTCTGGTATTGAAGTTTACAAGAAAATAAAATACCTAGGGATAACCCTAACTAATAGGTGTATCTCACTATTAAAAGACAACTATATGAAACTTCTGACTGAAATTAAAAAAGATTTGGAAAATTGGAAAAACTTACAAATATCTTTTATGGGAAGAATAGCTATTGTAAAGATGAATGTCCTACCTAGACTTCTTTTTTTATTTCAAACAATTCCAACTTTTAAAAAACCAACAGTACTTCAAGGAATTAGATAAACTGATACAGCATTTTATCTGGCAAGGTAAAAGACCCAGAATAAAGATGAAATTATTACAGGATACAAAAGAGAGGAGGATTTGCATTACCAGACTGGTACATATATTATAAAGCAGTAGCCTTGACATGGATGAAAGAATTGATTACTCTGAAAAACCCAAGACTTTTAAAGCTAGAAGATCATGACCTGAAATTAGGTTGGCATGCTGTTGTATGGTATGAAAAAAGTAATATACATAAATATTTTAAACAACATATTTTAAGAGCAGCACTGTTGAAGATATGGGAAGAAACTAAAAATCTGTTCTATATAAAAATACCTAAATGGGTCTCACCACTTGAAGCCTTTATAAATCCCACCTTATTTACCAAATATCAAATGTGGAGATATGAAGATCTTCTAGATAAGAAAAACAACTTAAAAACACAAGAAATCCTCCAAAAACAGAACACTTGTTTGAATTGGTGGGAAAGAGCACAACTTGACTCTAGATATAAATCGAAAGTATAAATAAAGATAAACAAACTGGTTTTTATGAAAAGCCTTGGACAAAAAGACTTGGACAAAATCTTATTGCATATAGATGAAAAACTTATAAAATCATTTTATAGATTGCTAATAGATATGAAAATAAAAGATGAAGTAGTAAAATCTTCAATGATTAGATGAGCACAAAATATAGGCCATAATATAAAATTAGATCAATGGGCTAAGGTATGGAAAACTAATATAAAATATACCAAAGCTACACCATACAAAGAAAACATATATAAAAAGTTTTATAGATGGCATATAACACCAGATAACTTAGCAAAATTCTATCCAAGTATGTCAAATGTATGCTGGAAGCATAAGCAAAATACTGGTTCCTTTTTTCATAAGTGGTGGTCTTGTAATATAACTAAAAATATTGGGTTTGGATACATGAGATATTGCAAAAAATGCTAGAAACAACTGCACCATTTGTACCAGAATTGTTTTTATTAAATATTATACCAGAAAGGTTTAAAAAACCAGATGCTTATATGATTATACATGTTATAACCACAACTAGGATCTTGTATACAAAATACTGGAGGAAAGAAGTCCCATCAATAGAAAAAATAATTTATAAATCCCTAATAATCTTTCCCGTTCCTGGATGCTGGCTCTTCTATCACCTTAAACGTCAGAAGCCCAAGGTACTGCTGTGGCCAAAGCCATAAATTCATTTTATTTAGAAAACCGCTCCAGTAAGCTGGCTGCTGCCTACCCCTGGGCGAGCACGTGGTGGAGGTGAGCATGCCTTAGGTTTGCTAGGCACATCCCTTAACATTGTATGGTTCAGATCTCTGATGGAGCTCAAGTCCACCTTTGGTCCCACAATTTTGACACACCCCTTTTTTGCATAAAGCCTTGGACACCGCCTTGGTGGTTCAAAGACTCATACTCTCCTGGGTTCGTTTCCAGGTAATTTTTTAATTTTTAAATTTTCGTTTACTGTGTTCAGAGTCAGGGCTGTATTATCCATAAGGCTGACTAGGCTGAAGCCTAAGGGCCCTGCAGGGACTATGGGCCCATCAATTGCTTTGATTTTTTTTTGCCGAGGCACTGTTATTTTCTCTTCTCTGTGATCTATAACTTCTATTAATAAGATAATTAACGGCTTCCTTATTGCACTGAATCAAATTGTCTCTTAATAGTAAAACAATTATCCATAAATTATATATTTTAATAAACATTTTATTCACTTCAAAATATTACAGTATTGAACAATTATACTCCCAAAACGCGCTTTCCTGAAGAGTTCTACTTGCGCGGTAAGATTGTGAATAGAATTCTTCAGGAGACCCTCGAAAGGGATATAGGGCTATGTACTGCGGTCTGTAGTACCTACCACGCCAGGGTCAAGCTGTCAGCTGTAGTGGGGTGAAACACTGAAGTGCCGGAGGGCCCCCAAAATACCTGAAAGCCTAGGGGCCCGGCCATGGGTTACATTGGCCCTTTTCATAGTCCAGCTTTCTCACTGAGACGCGGGAGGATGGATTACAGAGTGTAAATTGATCCATCTATTGGATGAGACCTCTGATTGGCAATGTGTTAGGACTAAGATTACAGAAATCTGGAACAAGCAGAGAATATTAGGCATGGTTTGGAATGCAGCGGGGGCTGCGGGTGGCTCAAGTGGTTAAGACGCTGAACTGCAGGCTGTGGAAGGTAACAGGAGAGAATTTACACTTAGCTTTACAATGAGGTTTTGATAAAACTTGAGCAAATTTATAATTGAAACAATATAAAAGAATGTTTTATGTAGCTAAAATTTACAATGTGTTAACCATTGCCCATTCTGTTTCTGGAAGCTGCTTACCGTATTTTCCAGCGTATAAGATGACTTTTTAACCCAGGGAAATCTTCTCAGAAGTGGGGGGTCATCTTATACACCGGTAAAGTATTCTTGCCTCCCCTGCGCTCTGAGCTATTAGGCACAAAGGTAGCAGGTGTGGAGAAATTGCAGGGGGGAGATGCCCCCCGCCCGAGGAACTGGCTTGCGCTCTCCGCCCACCCGGCGCTCCTGGTGGTTTCTGTTCTCCACGTGCGCCAAACGCACAAGGGAAGTTCCACCGAGTTCTTCCCCTCTCCCCCTGGGCGCGCTTGGCTAAGAGCAAAGATTCGATTCCACAGCGAGCTTTTTAGCTGCAAGGTTCACCCCCCCTTCTCAAATTGCAAACAGATATAGCCTCCCTTCCTGCAAGTGACTTCGCTGTCCCAGGGTTGCAAAAGCCAGGGGAGTTGTAGCAAGCTGGCTTGCCACCAGGTAGCTGGGGGGGCTAGGAGAGAGCTCCTATTTTTATTTTATTTTATTACTTTTGTAACATCAGAAGTGACAACATGCCCCCAGTGTCCCCACCACCAAAGATTGTCTACCTATGGGGCTGCTTTAGAAGGGGTGACTTCTCTCAAATGAGGGGGCTTGAAGAAGAAACTGAAAGGAAAAGTAAGGAGGGTCAAATCCCTTTGGGAAGCTTGGAGACTATTTAAAACCACGATACTGGAAGCTCAGATACAATATATACCGCAGGTTAGGAAATGTACAAATAGGTATTTTTAAAGATCTGAATGGTTAACAAACAAAGTAATGTAAGCACTCAAAGGTAAGAAGGAAGGCTGGTCCGAGTGAGGTAAATAAAAGGGAGCACAGGAGTTGGCAAATAAAATGCAAGTCGGTGGTCAGACAGGCAAAAAGGGACTATGAAGAACATATTGCAAAATCATAAAGATCAACAATAAAAGTTTCTTCAGATACATTAGAAGCAGAAAACCAGCCAGGGAGGCACTGGGCCCCTTGGATGACCAAGGGGTGAAAGGATTGCTAAAGAACGATAGGGAAATGGTAAAGAAGCTGAATGTATTTGTTGCTTCTGTCTTCACTGTGTAAGATGGGAGGTGCTTGCCACTCCAGAACCGCCAGTTTCAGGAAGGATGTCATAAGACCTGAATCAGATTGAGGTGATGAGAGAGAAAGTCCTATGACTTATGGACAAATTAAAAACTGATAAATCAATATGTACCAGTAAACAGTAAACAGGAGAGAATTTACACTTAGCTTTACAATGAGGTTTTGATAAAACTTGACCAAATTTATAATTGAAACAATATAAAATAATGATTTATGTAGCTAAAACTTACAATGTGTTAACCATTACCCATTCTGTTTCTGGAAGCTGCTTAATTGTTTTCAAGAGTCTTGGGAGATAACAGGTCACAAAATGGCAGCTTGGTGGATGGAGCCACTCACAAAATGGGAGCTTGTAGAAAAGTTATAGCATTTCAAAGCAGGCCCACAGCAGGTGACGAAATCTGCCGTTTTCCCAAAGCAAACTATCACCCTGCCCTCCCTCCATGGTAATGTCCTGTAGTGGGGAAATACACAGTTACTTCTGTGTTTTCCCTGAGGCGGGAGAGTCCATCACATGTTCCTTTCCCATCCATTTTCCAAGTGTGGAGGAGGAGAGTCAGATGCAAAAGGGTGCTGGTGCTGTCAGTTTTCCAACCCAGAGCAAAGGTACATGCATGTGCCACCTCCTCATTCATGCAAAAGAGAAAGGAAAGAATCTGCAATAGCTTTAAATGGAAGGATGAGAAAGTGGTTAAGGTAGCATTGTAGGAGGTGCAGAGAGCTACTTTTAATTACTTGGAGAGTGACTGGTCACTCTTTAGTGACTTCTGTTGACTCCTGCTCTAATCAGTATACCACATTGAATTTGTTCTTGTGTTTCAGGGAATTCAGCTGTCATAGGTGAGACTGTGCTATCTACCGATACAGAAGATTGGGCAGACCATTTTGAAGATTCTGGATGTGATGTTTCAAGTAACTGTATTGCTGATCCTCTAGAGAACTTGCCTACGTCTGCCCCAACTGAATGTGGTAGCAACAGTTCTATATCTATTGTCTTATCAAGCGTGCATCCAATATCGACTCCTTGCCATGCCTTTAAGACAGATTATTTGGTTGCTCACATGCAGTTCCTACAACGTATCCTTGAACTAAAAAAACTGACAGAATCTGGAGGCCTGAGGACAGCTTTGAAAAAACTTGGAATTGATTGCTCCAAAGTGTCAGATTCTCTCTCTCAATTAGTTGATGGCTTGGTTACTTCATATAGCCTTCCTGAACTCCCTTTTCCAATTTTTCTGAAGCAGACAGTTTTTGTCATCACCAAGTTATTAAGTGATGCTGACTTATCTGGTCAGATTGCAGGAAAGTGTTTCAGAAAGCTGGACGAATCTATAAAAAGACTTGTTGCAATTGTTTTGAACAACAGTCATCATAACCGAGTAAGTAAAATGCCATCCACAAACTCAGTAGTTGTGAAATTGCAGTATGAAGCTGAAATTGCACGAATGGTGCTCATTTTTTATGATGTTTCAAAATGGTTTTGCTTATGTAAGAGTGATTTTGAGTATTATACATCACTGAGAATAGTGAGCAGTATCTCCTGAGAGCCTGCATGAAAGGTAAGATGTAGAGGCTTCTGATTACGTAAGTGGACTACCAGGTGAAATCTCCTCTTTTTTTGTCCTAAAATTGCTCCTCTTGTATTTGTCAGCCTCCATTCCCCTATCTTCTCCCCTCCGCTGCCACCTTCCAGCTTTTGGCCAGGAAAAATTACCAATAGACACAGCGTGGACAGGTCTTGTTATTGGGCTGAAGCAAACTGGGCCAGCTTGTGGTTCTTGAACTCATACAGAGTGTTGATAGTGGAGTGTTAATATCAGAACACAGGGTTTTCCGGTTTTGGCATTTTGAACGTTGGCGGAGTCTCTGGGGTCCTCCGAGAGACGTGTGCCATGAATTGGGGATTAGGAGGGAGCGTGATTGTGTTAGCCAGCAATGAGCTTTCTGCTCTCTATGGACTATGAACTGTGTCTAATGTGTGCCAAGGGACTATGATGCCAGGTGACCAAAGTGAGAGGCCAGCACACACACACCAGATAGTGTGCCCATGGCTTCCAAGAGGTTGCCCTGTTCCAGAGATGTTCCTACCTATACACACACAGCACCATGTTAGCAGCCATTTGCTGAATGTTCAAACTACAAGGACTGATTCCTCCATTATGTTTTAAGAAGCTGGCAAATCTTCCCCCCCACACACACACACTCTTGTTGCTGAGGAGCACTCATAAAAGGATTTACCTTCAGCTTTTCCTTAACAAAGGAACTAGCTCAGCTACCCACCTGGAGAACCGGTCTTGCAGACTTAAGACAATAGGGGACAATCAAGGTGAGCTGCTTACTCAATCATCATGCTAATCAGGTGTCTTTGGGCTACCAGCTTAATTGCATCAATCATTGTCCAAGCTAAGCCCCTCACTTCCACTGTATAAACTAATCAGAGAGGGGTTGTGTCAAGGGAAGAGTCCAGCAAGCCCTCTCCATGTGACACCCCAGAGGAGGTGGGCCAAGTCATGTGACTAGGACATGTGACCAGCCTGGACCAGCCTCCCAAGCCCCCCTCATAAAAGGGGACAGCCAGCCATGTGGTCCCTCTCTCTCTCTACACCCCCTCAACGACCTCTATACTCTCTGACTCTTATCCTTGTAGCTATCTGCTACCCATCCTACCCCAGGCTAGGCTTTTAGTCTGCAGCTAAGGCCTACCTTGCGCTTTCTGATGGTCAGTCTGCACATTCCATTTTCCTAGTATAATCCCCATTTTTCTAGTATTCCCTTATTTTTCCATTTGGCAAGCTTCATCTCTTCAGACCAGGTAATGTATTTCCCAATCAACGAATCTCCTGCTAATGCAAATGTGTAAAAATCTCTCTTTATTTCCTAGAATCTGAATATTTGTGTGTGTGATTGTGTGTTGTTTGTGTGTGAAGAAGATTTACAGTAAAAGACATTATTCTAACTAAAACTCCTTGTCTGTTACTGGTATTTCTGGAAGAGTGGCACCCTCTGTATATACAGGTGAAAGGTCCCTTAGCTGATTGCTTATTAATAATAATTCATAATTCGCCAATATTGATAATTAATCCAGAGCAATCAGGCTAACAATTGTTCACGCTCCCCCATGAAGTCCATAGGCAATGGGCTTCTAGCCAGGGGGCTTTGGAGAGCCCTACCTCCGGCCAGCAGCCAGAACAGGGGGGCTACTCTCTGCCCTGAAGGTCCTGCCCTGATTCCCAGTACTGGATTAGAAGTGACCACCGGAACAAGCATTTGGAGGTTTAGCAATTTTCTCTGCTTGGCGAGATCACAGGGGCCGTCTTAGGACCTGGTGGATTGATTCAAAGATTGATGAGTGAGTTGTTTTTGAAACGAGACACTAAAGCCTAGAAGTGAAGTCCCTCCACTACAAGTGTATAAACGGAGAGGGAGAGGGGATGCCCTATCTCCCAACATTTTAAGCAAATGCAAAAGCAAGGAGGGAGGGACTGATCAAACTGTGGCATGGACTGTAGCTGAGAGTTTTTCTAAAAGAAAGCGGAGCATTTAAACAGACCTTAGAGACTTTGGCATTCTTTCTCGGCTGATGTAAACATCCAGTTTTCTGGAGTAAAGGGCTCACTACCCTAACTTTATAAGATCTGCTTGCTAAGAGAAAGGTTGAAATCTCCAATGAGCGTGTTGTTATTTCAACAAAAGGGAAGACTCTTTTGATCTAAGACGTTTAAGGAAGCGAAGATGTCCCAGGAAAAAAGGAACTTGGTTTATATCATGAATGGACAGATCCGGACTTATAAAAACTAAAAGATAATTGAAGAAAGAAGATACATCGAAGATGGAAGAAGAAAAACGTGTTGTAATGTTCTTACTGAGGGAACATTGGTTTTAAAGATTTGGCCTGGGGGGGGGGAGTAAAGCATGGAGATGCTAAATTTTTCTTAAGGGCTGTGATTATGTGTGTTATAGCTTTGGAATTACTCTGTTCAGTCAGATAAGCAGGTTTTGTCAGCAGAAGCAATGATTGGCGTGCACTCTTCATGTTTGAAAGCAAATGTATAAGAGTAACAACTATGTTTTAAGCACAGTAAAACCTCCATTCTTGGGTTTTTAGTTAGGTTTTCTTTACTTTTTCCTATAGATTGTAGACTCTCCCTCTCCAATTTCTGTTGTAGTTTTATGGAAATGCAAATAAAAAATTCCCCTCGGGGGGCTTAACAAAAATAATCAGAACACAGAACTCCAGATTGTTTTGGCTTTCTTTTTGCCCATGCATGGAATTTCAAGAGACTTCTGTATTTGGAGATGCTTTCCTCTTTTAAAAATCTGTAGCAGAATGTAGTGCTCTTGCATGGCATACACTTACTTAATAGGGTTTTCCAAGCTTTTATTTCAATGTAAGAAGGAAAATTATTTTAGAAGCATATAGCTCCTATTTTTGAATCTGTCTGTATAGCATCCCAGCACCTGTGTGCTTGGCATTAACAGAATATTTAAACGATGATTTAGATAGTAGCTGTGTTTTTGTAAAACCAATTAAGTGCATGTCCTTAAGGGCATTTGAAAAACTCTGAAAGCAAAGTTTTGCAATGCAAAATTAGCATCAGTTTTTGAGAATAAATTTGGGTTTGGAGGGCATAGTAGCTTTACAGTTTGACATCTAGGGGTTTTCCCCCCTCATTTACTGTGCAAAATTGTGACACATATGCCCTCTCTTCACTAAGCAGATTTTGAAGTCTTACTCCAGCCTAAGGAGCCTTCCTGTAACTTGTGCAGCTTTTCAGAGGCAAGGCAAGGTTGAATACAGGTTACCTTGAAATACTATTTTCACCATACTACAAACAGAGATTTTCACACACGCACACCTTTATTGGCATCGAAAGCACAAAACATTATGGGAATATAGCAAAATACTAAGATACATCAGTCGCTTACACTTGGCTATTCAAAGCTCGTCTTCTGATTGCATAATGTAAACATTTCGCAACAACCTCCATCATTTCACAATTAGAATTAAACAGAAGAAAGTGAATAATTGAATCATCAGAATGCCAACTCTTACCATCTAAACGTGGAGTAATAAAATGAGATCTAATATCCCTATAAAAGGGACAATGAAGTATGGTGTGTGTCACTACATCTTGGCCTTTTGGCTAAGATCAAGAGTAACAGAACTTCTGAGGATGCAGAACTGAAGAGATGAAGCTTTAAGAGATTACTCTGTTTTGACCAATAGCTATTTCAGGATATGTCCACCACCCCACCCCGCCCCAGCAAAAGTCCCAAGAACAAGCATTAAAATGTTTGGGGGTAATGTGTGCATGTTACTATGGCAGACATCTCTCTGCGTTTTGCCTCTGTTTGTGCTGAATATCTTTTACAGTATATGTCTAATATAGTACATAGCATCTGCTTACCATTGTCCTATTCCTATTCTATGCTGAGGGATTTGGGAATGTTTAGTCTGGGAAAGAGGAGGTTGAGGGGGGGCATGATTGCTCTCTTTAAGTATTTGAAGGGCTGTCATTTAAAGGAGGGCAGGGAGCTGTTCCTGTTGGCAGCAGAGGATAGGACTCACAATAATGGGTATAAATTAAGGGCAGGAAAGTACTGGCTAGGTATTAGGAAAACCTTTTTTACAGAAAGAGTTGTGCAACAGTGGAATCAGCTCCCTAGGGAGGTGGTGACCTCCCCCTCCCTGGCAGTCTTTAAACAGCATCTGGACAAACACTTGTCAGGGATACTGTAGGCTGATTCCACACTGAGCAGGGGGTTGGACTAGATGGCCTGTATGGCCCCTTCCAGCTCTGTGATTCTAAGATTCCATATACTATAGACTTTTATTTTATTTTTGTATTGCCTTCTATTTTTCTATTGGTTTTTATTTTTATAAACAATCACCAGTAGAATCCCTCTTTCATTATTGGTCTTCTGTGAAGTCCCACATGGGGACTGCGCATGAGCAGACCTGCCATCAGATAGTCTTTACAGATAGAAGCCATGTTTCATGTTTCACATTCAATATGGTGTCTATTTCTTTGATTTTATAATTATTAAAATTTAATTGTTGGTTCATCGTTATTGATTTGAAAGATGCCCATTTTCATGTTTCTGTCTACCCTCAACATCGCAAGTTCTTATGTTTTTTGTGTGGGGAATGGGTTTTTCAGTACACTGTCCTACCCTTTGGTCTCTAAGTATTTAACCACAGTTATAGCTTACCTCCATTTGTGGGGTTGCAAAATATTCCCTTGCTTAGTTGATTGGTTACTGGTGGCAGATTCCAAGGACCAATTGTTGAGTCATTACACTCTTGTCCTAGAGACCTGTCAAGGACTAGGACTTCTGGTAAATTGGGATAAATCACGATTAGTTCCATCTTAGAGGA